TGAGACTCACCGAGGTCGCTCGTAATCCGAGAAATATCGAGAAAAGCATTATGGATGAATATTTTTTCAGTGAAATATGAAATTTTATATGAAATGTGCGAAAAGATAGCTAAACAAATTGAAAGGTTAGGCAGAGGATGAAAATAGTTTAAAGAATTAGATTAGAGGATAGAATTATTTAAGATCTGCCGTTGCAGCGAATATCAAAATGTTCGTTTTCTCCGTAGAAAGACTATCAAAGACACATAGTGTAGGACGTTTCATGTCCTTTGTAGCGCACGTCGAAGGTATTCGCTGCTACGTGTGCGCTCTCGAGGCACGTTGTAGAACGGCAACACGAACGAATGAACGGGAGAGAGAGAGAGAGAGAGAGAGAGAAAGAAAAAGGGGGAGAGAGATGGAGAGAGAACGCCGTAAAGCTATTCCCGAGCTGTGACGCTATGACGAATATGGCGTTCGTTTCCTGTGCACAAGGTTATTTATTGCACGATAAAACCGTGGCGCGTATACCTGCGCTTATGAACGCAGACCACCGAACTCAACCGACCGACCCCACCTTCGGCTTTCGTCTTCGGCGAACTCTCGCGAGAAATCGCATCATGCACTTTAATCGTCCCTTTAATTGCGCCGCTGATTCCGCACGAAGCCGCGAGTCTCGAGAGCGCTCTCCTTCAGAAAAGAGAGAGAGAGAGAGAGAGAGAACAACTTGATGATCGTAAGTGCACCGACGAAGATCTCCGATAACGATCGTGTTCTTTTTTTACGTCTACTTAAGATAAGCGGCAAATTACTTTTTCTTCGTAACTCGGTTCAATTTTCTCGCGTTCTTCGCAACTCTCCCTAGTGAGCAAAATCGATCGACACGGCGTGAATTGCATCTTAATTTCGTTGGCATGGTTTGCATCCATTGTAAATTTCGTTACTATCGTTCAACGTCATTTTTTGGTCATGCCGTTAATCCCAACGGACGGCCTATGCGCAAATCCGTAGCAATGCACAATCGATATGTGAGAGAGCGTGCTAGCGACCTCGTTATCGAGAATCACGTTTGGCACATGCCCAACGAGTGTATCGTTCGTTCGGTCCGGTCGGAGAAATGTGCCGGCGATGTGTATCACCGATGAGAAAAAGCCGTCGAAGAAAGTACGCAAGCTGCGTACTTATGTATGTAACGGCGCGCAAACTCGAGTCGCACAAAATGAAGCAGGTCCCCTTCTCTGGAATTTATCAGTTCTCTGAGAAAAATACATTCCTCGCGATATTTCAATTCTTCACCATTTAACTGACACATATTTTAAAACAATAGGAGATGTTCGAATATTCTATCGATGGCGTTATTGATTCAAAACCACCAAGTTTCTATCGCGATGGAATTCGACAGCTAACTGACTTATTTCGACAATTAAAATCGCACATCTTCTCGATAAATAAATTTTTATTTTCGTTTACGAAAGCCCCGAATTAATTTACACACTCAATACGTATCATCAATTTTTACATTAAAGGCCGGTTATTCCACCTTTCGGATAAATTATGTGATAATTGATAACGGATAAAAATATCTGAAGAACGTTTCCGTACGGGAATAAACTACAAAAAAACGAAAAAAATGATATACTATTTTTCAATAGTGTATCAATAATCTTCTCATATTCCACCTTATAAATCGAAGGAATCTGCTTTTTAGCTCTTCCTCTCTCGCGTCTTCGCAGCGCGCGGAGACAGATTTATTTGTCGCGCTTCGACGCACCGGCGGACGAAAACTCGTCGCGATCTCTCCGGATTCTGGAAAGCGAGGTCACCCGCGTTGCGTGCGAGCGACGGCGCGGCTTCATTCATGCCGTTCATTACTCACTTGTTTTCGAACGTCACGGACGTCACCGAAGAGAGACCTCTGTGATCCCGAACGATCGAAAGCAAATGCATCGTCGTGACGTACGCGCAAAACCCGCCAGGAAAAGCGAGGATCTTATCACGCGCGTTCTCCGAGGGGTTCCGTCTCGATCGTTTCGTCGATTAATGTACTGGAAACTGGCCGCCTAATTTAGGGCGTGTCGTTCGCTCGGACTCCTCCTTTTCCTAGCGGAGCGGACGGCGCATTCCTCGCATAACAAGCGGTGCAATTATCAAACGGCGTATTCAGACCTATGCAACGTGTGCGAGTGCAGCTGTGCAATTAACCGCCGTGGTTTCTCGCGCATTACACGCTCCGATTTCTCGCTCTCCTCCCCCGAAAATCTTGCGGATCTCGGCGTTTTGCGTGTGTCGCAACCGCGTCTAAATTCTTTCTTTCCGATTTGCATAAAAATGTTTTATTTTCCTTTGTCTAAAAGTCGTGAAAAAGTCGTAAGACGTCCGCCTTATTCTGTTCGCCTTCCGTCTTATTCTGTTTTAAGATGATTCACGCGATGATTTGCGCGATAATTAAAACCGAACCGCCGACCGAAACGTCGTTCGATCTCGATCAGCTGATCGCAAACGCGATCGGATATTTAACGGCGACTTGGCTTAAGGATTTTCCGGGATGTCTGTCCAACGACATCGTGAACGACGGAGAGAGAGAGAGAGAGAGAGAGACGCAGTCTTGTCGCCGCCGTGAACGCCTTGACAGCTCCTTTTAGAGTAATTAAGCCCGGCCATGACACATACTTGGAAACGATTAGTGTCGCGAACAAAGTGCGTCTGATGAATTTCTCATTTATACATTCCGCAGGACAGCTCGAATGCGAGTTCAGTATGCGTATAAATTACCGTTATTAATAGACATTTTGCTCTTCCTGCGTCAGGTACATACTTTGTTTTTATGAGTCAGTACTTCTTCCCCGCGCGCCTCTGCAAAATTACACTGTTGCGATTTACATTATTAATAAATTACAATTTTACATCCGTCTGTAAAATAATTCTTCAAGTGACACGCTATCTTCGACGCGCTCGATGGCCGAAAAGGAAAAGCGAATGGTGGTCGGTGCTGTTTTTACGTAAGAGCAACACGTGGGATACTCGGAGTGCCGCTCACAGGCGCGAAGCGCCTTTTAAAAAACTATTAATCGGTGAAAGTATCGGACGCACCTGGCAAGTATCCGCCATCGGGGCAGGGCAGGTAATCGAGATCGTTCCAAGTTTCGAAATCATCGCACGAAGAGGGAAATGCTGGATGTGGATGGCGGCGAGAATTCGAAAGCGAGATTTTTGTATCGCGAGTCTTTTTTTTTTTTAAGGCACGAGTACTCTCTTGCTTATTTTTGAACGTCGTTTGCGGGCTTGCTTAGAGAGAAGGTGGTTTATTTCTCCCTTCTTGAATATTTTTCCGTGCGTGTCTCTCAGCGAGTCATATTTACATGGGCACCGAACGGATAGAAGGAGAAAACCCGACGGAGTCCCTGCCTGTAAAAGGCTCGCAAAAGACGACGGAGGCGTCCCGGGAGCATGAGATAGGTTGTCGCTACACTACACGTCTACCTTTGCCTCGCGCGACGTCCTTCGGTAGAGAGCGAGTAATCCGATATAGCGTGAGAAAATGAATGCAGCAGCGCCTGTGGGACAGCGACGCATTGTCTCGCGCTTATTGTCGGATGCTTTCCGCGAAAGGAAACGCGCTCGGGCGCTTTCCACCATCAATTTCGTTCCTCAGCCGCGATAGATGTCGCGAAGGGAGCCGCGGCCGGAAATTTCGCGACTTTCCTCAACTCTCGCGATGTTCGGCTGTCTTTTTACAGGTTCGTCACCAACGTCACACACAGGCATTCTGTAAAACACTTAGTTTATCTATTTAGGTTATCTAATTGAGATCCAGTCGGATTTTCCAAAATAATTGATTTGAGTTTGGAAATCTACCCATCAAGCCTCACCCCATAAAATAATCAAAACGTGCATATATTTCTCGTGATATTTTGGAAAACAATTCATGCATAATTGTGGTTGTTATTATTTTGATTTCTCAAGAGAGTATTTATATTAGATAACATGAGATATGAAATAGGTATGAAAGGGTAGAAATATATAGGTGAGATTACTACTGCATACATGATTTGTATTTTGACAGTATATGTGGTTGTGCGCGTTGTAATTTTGGGTCCCGTGGGCTTTACGCTCGAAACTAGCTGGGCAGTCCAAATGTTAACCTCTTAACTTGATATTCGGTTAAGCTGTTACTCGGCTCTAATGACAGTCGCACGTGACACGAAAGTAGGCCATAGAAAAGATCGTTTTATGTTTGGGATTTTCGATTGGTATTATAGTGGGATAACCTAACAACTTGGAATATTTTAATCGGAATTTACGCTGTACACGGGAAAGCTCGGGAAAATTTTTATGCGGGATTTTCTAAGTGGTAATAATTATAGTTTTAAAGATTCGGAAAAAATCATTCTTCCCAAATTTTTCCGCGGATTTCCTCAGTTTCTGTTCCAAGAGTACAAATTTCACTTAGAAAAATTCATGTGTGTTGGGTTAAAACCATCTGCCGCATTTACTTTTTTCGCAAAGTATGTAAAAAAATCTGCGGAAAAATGGGGAGGGAACGGTTTTTCCCGAAATTATAAAACTATAGTAATAATTATTGCCTCACCCCCTGTATATTAAATATTGCTATTAAAACTACACGTCAAATTGTTCTTTTCGGGGAAAATTTACACGAGGCGACTTTTCCAAAACTTGACGCCTCCGATTAGTCCCCCTTCCATCATTCGGAGACCAGTGAGTAAGGTTTTCCTCGAAAAGTACGTTTCGGAAAACGCAGCCTAAAAATATAACGTGAGCTGTGTGTAGCGAGCGACTTTCAATTTATGCGCATGTGAGGAACGTGTTAAATCGCGTTGAATCCCCGGTGTTTTCCGGCGGACGTGGCGACGAGTCGCCCGTTGACTCGTAAAACCACGAACGCCATCGAGTTCCTCGATCGCGCTTTCGGGCCCCGCCGCATCTCGATTCGCCACTGCGCGAGCGTGGGCGTTCTTCGTGGGCATGAAACGCACCAGCTGACTCACTCACGCGTCCGCGTACGGAGTGTGCCGAGTCTCCCCGGTGCGCGCTCACGGGTGCGGAATCAAAAGCCGCGCAATTCTCTCCTAGTGCGGTTTCGCGCTCGGGACTGGCCGAGTGTGTTTTCTTCCCCGTGTCGCTCGCGGATCTCCCCGAGGGGAGAAGATCTGCCTCCGGTGTCATATCGATGCTTCACATTCGACGTGCATCCGTGTAACGTGCATTCCCCCGGTGCTTCATTCCGAGACGACGAGTTGATTGACGGATCGCTGGCGGTCGAATCGGCCAAAGGAAAAATCGACGAGTGAAATTCGAGTGGACGATTTGTTTCCCCGGGCCAACCCGGGTCCATAAATCGTGCGAACCGCGGCGCCGGTAATGGATCTACTAACGGGAGCGGAGAGATAAAAATAGAATTTCAGTGGGAATCGATTGCGCCGTGTATACGGAGATAAATTTCTTTCTCTCTCGGTGGGAACCCCCTCGAGAGCGGGTCTCTCGGATGCTTCGTCTGCGGAAAGCTAATTATTATTGTGCGAATGTGACGCGTAACGGTGACGGTGCGTGAGTTTGGCGCGCGCGCGTATGGTGTGCCGGCGCCGGGCTGATCGGCGCACTCGGCTGCGGAATGCGATCGTTCGTTTAAACTCACTTTTCGCGGACGGGAACGATCGTCGTGGTGTGTGTGTATGTGTGTGTGCATAGTGCGTGTTCGAGCGAGCGCGCCTGGAATGATTCATCATCTCGGAAGTGTATATCGATCGTGATTCTTCCCTCGTTATCGCTATTTCTGGGATCTATAGCCGCCGTGTATAGCACAGCTGCAATAGAAATATAGAGAAGGTTAAAGAGAGAGAAGGAGAGAGAAGGGAAGAGAGAGTTTGTATGATTCAGCTATAATTGGCGGCGCAATTTCGCCGTGAGGCGGCGGACTCGATTACGCGAAGATAAACCGAATCTGCAGCTTCCCATGAAAGCGGCGAGAACTCCGGCGACTCGATCGAAGACAGATGTTGGCTCTGTGCCGCGACAATACAAAGCGTTATCGGGAGGAGAGAGAAGAGCGATGCGCTCTCCCCTGCTACGTTCGTCAACGAAGGAGATAATATCGGCCAACAAAGAGCGGAGCCGCGAACGAAGACTACGACGTCGCGAGATGTAACGAGAGCCGACGAACGGCGCGGCGCGAGCATCAAAGCTATAATAACTCCGAAGTCGGTCGCCGAAATTAAATTCATTCGTCGTTCCCCGTTGGACGCGTGCCGCATATCTCGGTCTCGGTCTTGTTCTCTCTCTCTCTCTCTCTCCCTTTTTCTTTCTCCTGGAAGCAGAGGCGGCCGTGCATACCGTGTATACCATGCGACACACGCTCGCCGTGGAATGAAATTTCGACCTGACGAAGAGAGAGAGAGCCCTAACAGCCGAGAGAATCCGAGATGGCGAGCGAGGTGATGCTGGCACCCACGCCCGCGACATCGTCTATACGGGAGATGGACGACGTCAGGGATATGGTTAGAAGCGAGACCGTCAGCACGATTTACGTAAGTCGTCCTATGCACATCGGATATCGCTGCTTTTCCACGCGTGTCGCGCGAGAAATTCCCGAGATTCGGAACGAATCATACTCCTCAACCTTTTTCATCGGTGCAATAATATAATCGGAATTTTTGCTTTCGTCGAACTCGTCGTTACCCAATCGTGTCCCTCCCATTTCTTTAAACTCTTCCGGGATACTCTGTGACTCGTATGTGTACGTTTAAATATGTTTTTTTCTTTCTTAATTTAAATATTGCCGACAAGGATATAATGGGTAGAACTGTGAATAAACATTTGCTATAAAATCCCACGAGAAAGGAAATTTCGTCACAACTAATTGTTAATTAATAAAAATAAATAATAATTAATCAAACTAGTTAAGTGATTAGTTACGTACTATGTAATTAAATGATTTCGTTGCTATTATTAAATCATTTAGTTGAAATTATTTAATTAAAGGTTTGGTAATTGTTATCAAACTTTTTCTGCAGTGTGCCAACACAATTGTTTCCGTTCTAATTACGAATAATTTGCTAATTTGGTTTTATGCCAACTAAATTTTATTGTTGTCGCAACGAATATGCAGTTGCAACGATGGTTTCACTGCAACAGCAAAGTTACTTCTCTCCGTGCGATTGACAGATGTGTCATAGTTGTTTTACTTGAATGCATTAAATCATTTCCTTCCGATTTCAATGAATTCGTCTCTGAAAAGGTTAAGCCAGAGGTTCGAATTCGCTGAATCTCGTCTGTCGAACACGTGCCGCTTTATCAAAGATCTACACGCGGTCCCTGAGGAGCACGTGTTCCTCTGAGAATGAGAGAGAAACACACAGAGACAAGCAACAGTTAAACGCGCGTTTCGCCATGTCCTCTGTGCATCATGATGCGTATTCTCGACGCGACGAAGGACAATTGTGCCAAGGACAAGATTTCACTCTCGACCTATCAAATGATCGTCACGGTTGGTGAATAGCAACGCCAAGGAAAAACGCGCGCGGCCGTTTTGCGTCGCTCGGAATCCGTGGCGAATGTTCAAGTCGCGGCAACAAAATATCTTCGTGACTTCGCTCACTTGACATGTTGTATGGCGTTCAATCGTCCGCGCGTAAAGATACAAGTTTTTTAGTGCAACTGAATTTTCCGTTGCCTGAGAAGAATAGGGATGTAATAGGAAACTTGATTGTAGAAACAAAAAGATTCCCGTAGGTTTCTTCTATTCAGTCAACTTTCGTTTTCAGTTTTCGTTTTCAGTTTTCGTTTTCACGTTTTCAGTTATCATAACCGAGTTTGCAACACAGCTGAATATTCGCATCAATGTTTCCGGCCTCGTGACGGAGAAACTCTGAATTGGTGATTTTCGGAACTAAAAGTTTGCTTCTCCAAAGCGAAAATAAAAAAAAGTTTGGTTCGGAGAATCAAATTTTGGTTCTCACAATCAAAATATCCAAACTAGAATTTTGTTTGAGTCAACTAAATGGATTTTTCAGTGTAATCACATCAGAGGTATATTTACACGGGAAAAATTCAGTTTCTATAACTAGATGAAGACCAGGTAAAAACTCGGTGACAAGGAATGATATCTCTGTTATCGCAACTGAAAGCATTCGTGCGAGCATTCAACTACATTAAAACTCGGTTGAGATAACTAATCGTAAGAATAATTGACTGAGTAAGAACCTACTTTTACACTGAGAGAAAGATATTTGATATTTGTAACTATAATAACTATACACTATACACACACAGCACACACACACACTAAGCAACATAATAAAAGAATTATAGTCAAGAAAACCATTTTTTCTAATAAATGTTATTATATTGTTTATGATAATAACCTTACAAGCATATTGCTATTACTATTTTTATGGTTGAATTAAAAAAAGGAATTAAAAGAAGAGTACAATTGAGACCGGAAATAAGAATCATTTCTCTCAGTACAATTCCTACATGTAGATGCCTTCATAGAAGAAAAGGTTTCTTTGGATTTAGTACACATGTTTGTTTCATTTGAATTTATTTGATATAAACGACATAATTTAATATCAAATATCGTTTTGTTTGAATGAAAATGTTGTTTCACTGGAATAAACTATGTTGTCTGATAAAAAAAAACAGTATTATTTAGAGGAAATAATGCTCGTGACAACGATAGCAATGGTTGAAAATACAAAAGAAATATATTATTCGATATATGAATATACTCGATATATTCGACGAATATATTCGATATATGAATATGAAAATACAAAAGAAATATATTATTCGACGTAAAAATATTCATTGTGTTTGAGAAACTAAACAACCCTGTTTGTCGAATCAAACATTCGTTTGTTCGCTCTATTCCAAAAGACAAATTTGTTCCGATTATAGAAAATTTATTAAATCCAAAGAAATCTTTTTCTCCGTATGGATGTAGAAATCTACAAATAAATTCCTCAAGGAATCTTTCCGTTCCTACGACTGAGTTTCTTTTCACCTGGTCCCCGGGAAAAGTTTCAATCATACCAACGAAATTGTTCTTTCCGTGTGTAGAAAGTACATCGAAAAAAAAATTTCCCGACGATTTTACTAATAGAACTCCGCTTCGTTACTAATACCGCGAATTCCATTACATTTTTTCCGATCGAATCGCGGAAGAATGAGGGCGTTATACTAACGCGGCTTCCGCGTGGATCGCGTCCGCGCAATTTGCGACACGCTCCGGCTGCTTCTCAGCACGCTGGAAGTGTCGACTCGTTGCACAACTAATTAATAGGTCGATCGCGTCCGTCGAGCTCGCGTTCGCCCGCGCGGATTTCACAGTTGTTGTGTTGTGAGGCCGACACGCGAATTCCACACCAACGACGACGACGACGACGGACGACGCGAGTCGCGGTCAAGCGCGAAACCTTTCCGCATTTTAAATTTCTCTTACAGAGAGAGAGAGAGAGAGAGAGAGAGAGAGAGAGAGAGAGAGAGAGAGAAATCCCGATAAATTTCGCGTCTTCGCGATACCACCCACCCCTTCCTCACGGCGCGCGCGTTCGATTCCACGCAGGGCGTGGATTGTCGCGTAGGTCGTCGTGGAATGACGCTCGACTGCCCACTCGATTCGCGTTTGAAACAACGAGCGGTCGCCAGGTATCGATAAATCGGCATCCGATCGTTCGAGACCGCCATTCTCCATTTGCGTAAATCGCTATTTACCTAGTCCGGACAGACTCTACACGAAGAAAAAGATCGTTTGGTATTTATGACTGTGATCACATAGTGAAAGAATTACATTGATCAACACAAAAATTGTATCCTGATCTAAGCCGTTAGTGCTGATTAATTTTGGTGGAGTCAGTCACAAGTATAATAATAATTTTACACAGCTGACGCCAAGGGTAACTATAATTTTCGTGAAATTATATTTTCCTTCTCAGTGTATATCGCGAGTTCTTTCCACCGCGAATACGAAATCTGTTCGTCACCTGGTGATCGAGGTTTTCGCTCTTTGCGATTAATCCCGCAAATTTATATTAGTGGGGTTTTAAATGGCGGTGTCTCTGAGGCGTTTTTTTTTTTTTTTTTTTTTTTTTTTTTTTTTAATATAACAATACAACGAGCGATGTCATGTACGGGTTCCGTGTAATCTGTATAAGTGAGACAAGTCCTTTTAAGTGCAAGCAATGTTGTCGGCCAGACGCTCGTCTCTCGGAATTAAACTGCGATCGTGATGTAGTTCTCGTAGACGTAGCTCGTCCTCTCTAAAAGTAAATCCAAGTTCTAACCGGCGATGCCAGTTACGATGCGTGTCCCGCGTCAGATCGCGCTCTAAGACGAACTTTTAATTCCGTAACTCTAACTTTCGACGTTTCTCGACGCGCACTGTAAAGAGACTTCTCAAGACTTCGGCGCAGAAATGATCACGGAAGGCCGCTCGCCGGTTTCGCTCGTAAAATTCGCATGCATTCACATTTTTTTCGCGATATTGAGTAATAGAGTCACGTAAGTTTGTGCAGTAATAAAGCCCAGGAAGTTGGAATCGATCGCAAAATGAAAATCTCCGCAAATCGTGCCGCCGCGGCGTGAAAGGATTTTCCCGAGTTAAACTCCACGTAACGACCTGTGAAAATGTGCCATGCAAAAACCGGCTGCCTTTCTTCTTCTCTCTCTCTCTCCCTCTCCCGCCCTCCTTCTCTCTTTGTTAGCTTTATGACGTTCGCGTAGGCGGGTCGAAACATGAAAAGCGAACGATTCCGTATTTGGTGGCGGTGCTGTTGTCCGATTCTCCGATCGATCGCACCGCGTTTCGTCCGCCCTTCTCCACGGACGGAAATCATACATCTCCGTTCATCCCTGTGAAAGAGCTTTTGCGAGGCGGCACGGAAAATCAGAGACGTGTCGAACTTACGTGTGCACGATTCGTTGCACACGTGGCGAACATAATGTCTTGAGCGACGTATCAAAGAGTGAGCGCGCGAGCGAAGTCGCGTCGAGAGAGAGAGAGAAAGAGAGAATGTGTGTGTGTGTGTATAGGAGGAAAAAAGAAAATGAGAGAAAAATAAATCAAGCACACGCCATTTCCCATTCGTCGACGGTACGATGAAGGATCTTTTTCCGGCAGGGTTAAGCCGCTTTCCAACGGCTCCTTCAAACTTGTTACCTTCTCGTCTCGAATCAGCATCGCCGCCTCGCACGGCGACGCGAACGAGAGGCGACGGCACTTGGCAGCTACTCGAACAGAGTAATTAGTAATTCAGCAGCGCGTTAAAATCATTCCCCGAGCTCGCCGGGACCGTTAAGGTACCTGCCACTTGAGCAAGTGGAAACCGTTAAGATACCGTCCACCGTATCGGACAGCGTGTGCAGTCGTTTTGCCTCCCTGGATCGTCGCGATCGTCGTTTTCGTCGTAATTCACCGAGAGGAAAACCTTGCTGGATCCGTCAGTTTACTCGTCCGAGTTATTTCAACGAATAACTTTCGACGAATAACTGAGTTTCTTTCAACGAACTAGCAAATTACCAGCGCACT